CCCCCCCCCCCCCCCCCCCTCGGCCCAGAAATTAGTGCATAGCATGTGGAGGGATAAAGCGTGAAAGAACACTGTACTTGAAGTAGGGTATGCTAGTCGAAACAAAACGAGACTTGCGCCAGAAACAAAAAAAAATAATTCTCTCCCCTGTCTCCCGCAAAAGCCATAATCACAGCCGTTTCCTAAGGCCATCGATACCGTATGCCCGACGTATGTTTATCAAGAGGCTGATATCGAAAGTAGGAAACAAAATATAGAAAAAAAACAACGGGACCGCTGGCCGCATTGAACATCATAAAAAAAGATCACTACCATAGTGGTACAGGAACCCCGGCATCCTCTGAACCCGAGCGCTCATGTGATACAGACATTGATCCGTCGAACCCGGTGCGACGACTGCAACCATATTAGTAGGAGAACGAACGTTGCATGCCCCCCCTCCCGTTCTCCTCTGCTGCTGCGGATACCACAAGAGCTCCAGGTGGACCATCATCACACCGTATACACTTCGAGTCCACGGAGGGGTGGGGTGGGGATGGGGGGCCGGCAAACTGGTAGATCACGAGGCGGGCTGCTTCATGTCCCATCTCGTCCTGCGCACACGCGGACTAATCTTGCCATCGGCAGGAGGATCGGCCTGATCGGGGAGAGGGGGAGGGGGCAAGACATGAAAAGAGGAAGCAAGGTCAGTGGGGCCGGGAGAGGAGGCACTATGCAACAAAAAAAAATCGGCGAGGAAGCAGGTAAACTATTCTTATCGCAACAGGCATCTCTTGTTGAACGAAATAACCGGTGCTGCGTGCTCATGGGACGAGATGCAAGTTGAATGGAGTACCGATGCTCCATCTACATGTTACGGGGTGGGGCGCGCTCTACCCACGTTGCCATTATCTTATCCCGGGAGACAAGCACCTCTACATATCCAACGAACAAAAAAAAAACGGTTCACCTGGTCAGTCCGGGGGGGAGGGGGGGGCGTATCCCTTATGTTTTGCATGCCTTAGCGGTTAGACAATTGACCACGCGTCCTCGAGAGGACGGAGCATTGTTCCCACAGGGCCGATCACCGATGGTCAATCGCCCTAATTACCAATCAACGTAGCCAAGCACGTTGGTGCCATTCCCTAGGGTAAGCACCTCCATACATCCGACGAGCAAAAACAAAAGAACACGCTTCACCTGGTCGCTCTGTGGAGTCGCCGCACGAGAACGCGGAGAAACAGGGACCTCCCTGTCGAAGATGGCCGCGACAGGCACGGCGGGCTTGCTCGGGCGCGGCTTGCGAACGTTAGCAGCCGCCTGCAGGCTCAGGGCCGCGGGCTTCTTCGCTGCAGCAGCGCCGCCGCCGCCTCCTGCCATCACAGATTCGCCGCGCCGCGCTGCTGCCGGCGCGACATCCAGCCAGCCGCGTACAACGGCCCCGGCGGCCCCTTCTCTCTTGGGTTTGTCGGCGGGACCAGCTGGCGACGACGCCGAAGGCGCCTTCAGCGAGAACCGGGCAGGGAGCGTTATCTTGCTTACCTTCTCGGTGACACTGGCCGAGGACGGCGACGTTACCGGCTTCTTGTTCTTGCCGAGGGTCTCGGTGGAGCCCCCGGCCGCGTTGCTGCTGCTGCCGCCGCCTTTGCTATCCTCCGCGACGGCCGCCGCCTTCCCACCGCCGGTACTGCTGCTGCTATGCCGCTGCTGCGACAACTCTCCCGACGACAGCGGCGACACGCCTGTGGCTACCGCCGCCGCTGGCGCGGGCACTGCCGCCTCCGCCGTCATCGCCGTCAGAGTCTCGCGCCGGGCGGCTGCGACTGCGGCGCCGGGGGTCGAATAGGCCACCTGGCTGACGGGCTTCTTTGCGCTTCCCCCCCACCACCCGCCCCCGACCTTACCCACGTCCACGTTCATCGGCTTCGGCGCCGCCCGCGTAGCGTCGGCTCGCTCTCCCGCCGCGACATTACCGGAGCTGCTGCCGGGAGCCGCAGGCGGCGCGCGCACGCCACTGGGCTTCTTTGCGGCACCCGCCAGCGGGGCGGGCTCACGGATACCGGCGGCGGGGGAGCGCATGGCCACGCTCCTCGGGACGCAGGTCACCTTCCCCCGCCCCGTCGCCCCTGCTGCCTTCGCCCCGGAAACGTCAGCGTTTTTGTTGTTATCGGAGGATGAAGGGTGCGGAGCGGCGGCGGCGGGCTTTTCGGGCGTCGCCGTGGTTGACGGCGGCGGCGCGGAGGCGGATACCGCGCCGGTTGTCGCCGTTGTTACTGCTTGCGCTGTTGGTGCTGCTGTTTTCGCTGTTGGTGGTGCTGCTCTTGCTACTGCTGGTGCTGCTGTTGGTGCTGCGGCTGCCTTTGCTGTCGGTGCTGACTTCGCTGCCGGTGCTGCTTTGGCTGCTGGTGCTGCTTTGGCTGCTGGTGCTGCTTTGGCTGCTGGTAATGCTTGAGCTGCCGTTGCTGCTGGTGATGCTTTGGCTGCTGGTGCTGCTTTTTCTGTTGGTGCTGCTTTTGTTGCTGTTGGTGCTGGTGCAGCTGCTTCGGCTGCCTTTACTGCTGGTGATACTGCTGGAGCTCCGTTTGCTGCTGTTGCTGCTTTGGCTGCTGTTGCTGCTGGTGCTGCTCCTGCTGCTGGTGTTGCCGTTGCTGCTGCCGTTGCTTTTGCTGCTGGTGCTGCTTTGGCCGGTGATGCTGATGCTGATGCTGCTGCTGCCGCCACCCCAGAGTCGGTGATCGACGTTCCGCCAACGTTCCTGGCCACTGCCGAGCTCTGAGAGATGGACCTGAGAAGGGAGGTCACGCGGTCATAACTTTTTTCGCCACCGCCGTCACCCTCGCCACCTTGTGGCGCGTTGCTGGCACCACCACCGCCGTCGCTCAAACTTTTCCGCCGCTTACCGCCCCGGCCCGCCCCGTCAGCACCGTCGGTTACGCCGCCGCAGCCGGTGCTGCCGCTGCGCTTGGAGGCACTGCCGGGGGCATCCGCGCTCGCCAGGCTGCGCACAGCATCCATCCACACATCAGGTAAGGCATAAGGATATAACCAAGGCAAGAATAGCAGCAGCAGCAGCAGTGGAGAGACTACATAATTATGGGTTCGCGGCATCAACAGAGGAATAACGATCCGTCCGCCGCCACAACCTCGCACTGGCGATGCGAAAAAACGAAATTCGAGGTCGCGGCCGGGGGAATCCCGATTTCTGTCGTGGAGGTGGTCGGTGTTGTGATACAACATAGCTTGCTACAGTTAGCGACTGCTGCTGTTCCCTTCAACATTCAAATGAAGACCGCTATGAACTCTTCCCGTTTCACTCTCCGCACGACCCTTTTCTGCACCACCGCAAAAATCCCTTGAAAATGTGATGGGACGATAACTTCCCGTGGGTACGTCCTAGGGCCGAACAGCAAGCTTAATCGAATCCCTTCAAAACCGCCACACCGACGCACAGTACGAGTCATACATACACACCCGCCCTCACCTCTTCTGCTTCTTGCCCGTCTTGGTCGGCTTCGGCGACGCCGGCGACTTCGCGTCCCCCTTTCCGCCGCCCTTCGCCTTCTTCACCACCTTGCCGCCCGCCTTCTTCACTAATCCGGCGCGGCCGGAGGAAGCGGCGTTGCCTCCGGCCCCGCCCTCCTTCCCAGCACGAGGCGGCGGACTCGAAGCGTTCGTGGCCGTGCCAGCGCGGTCCCCGCTCCCGCTCCCGCTCCTGCTGCGGCGGTGGCGGCGGCGGCCGGTGGGGTCTGGCCTGCTGTCCTTGAACCTGGGCGAGGGTGCCGGCGGTTGGGCTTCTGCCCGGCTCGCCTTCCTCGGCTCGCGGCCCAGCGAGTCCTCACGCATGGACCTGGATGCAGGGTCCTTCCTCTTCCTCTTCTTGTCGCCCGGTGACTCGCGTTCCCTCCCACGACTGCTCCCAACTCGGTATGCCCTGCCGCGGAAAGAGCTTGAGCTCGCGCCCTTTTCTCGCGAGGGCCTTCTCCCTTCGGAACGACCCGACCGGTGACCGCGGGCCCGTCCCCAATAACGCCCGCCGCCGCCGCCGCCGCCGCCTTCATCCGACGAAGTTGATGAGCAAGAACGGGAGGAGGAGGAGGAGGAAGAGGAACGGGAGGAAGAGGGGAAGGAAGAGGAGGGGAAAGAGGAGGAGGAGGAGGAGGA